CAGATACTTTGATCAACCTGACTTAACAGTTTTTGAAATAGGGATGGGAGTGGGGAAAATGTTGAGGTGAGAGTCCCTATCGGGGACAATACCCAAACCCGAAGGTACAAGAGCTAAGGCCTGAGGGCACAGGTTTGTTAGGACCTGCCACCTGAAATAAGACTGAAATGAGAACATGCACACGCACGCACCCATACATACCTGCCTCCTCCTGGCTCTTCGTTCAAGGTTTCTAAAGATAAGATGACCTAGTTTCATAACCCAGTTTAACCCAATCCCGCATGAAGACTCTGTTTCCCTAATCTTGTCCCTGAACAAAGTGGTGAGGTGGTGTATAACTGTGTTATGTTTCTACCTGCCTAAGAGAAAGCACTTCTTTTCTTAGCATTGTCAACTAGAGGAAAGAAAATATGGTCTGGATTTAGAATCTGGCTTTGTTTGTGTTGAACCTATTTTCCACAGCCCTCAGGATTGGAGGAAATTTTCCAAGGAGGGAGGAAAAAAAATGAACTGAAATTAAAATCGACATCAAAACCAACATGCCCTTTAAGAAAGATCTGGATGGCTTTTCCATCATTACTTTGAAAGTTGTTTTAGGCAGTGTAATGGGCAAAAACAAATTATAAAACAGTGGAGAGAGAGTAAGACCCACCTCCTTGCTCCCTGCTATCATACTAAAAAGTAGAAAGAAATCTCTAAGTACAAATTAAGTCTCCACCATAGAATCAGGCATGCGACATTTAAGAGAAGACACACATTATCTATACAACAGACATACTTCTGAAGGATCTAACTCACTCTAAACCGGAAACTTGGATTCCAGCCCAGGGGATGAGAATATTTTTTTTCCTTTTTGAGTATTACTCCCTTTCTGGCAATTTAGCTTGTTTTCCCCAAAACTGGCTTGGCCAATATGCATGACATGGTGCCCATGGGAGCAGCCCCTGTAGGTTGTCCCCGTGAAGGTGAAGAGGGGGTAAATTGGGAGGAATGAGATCAGACCACTGTTGTGCTTTAAGACTTAACACAACGCATCATACCAGGAAAGAGATTTTAAAAGAGTTACCTGGGGTTCAAATAGCATAAACCCATATATTTTTCAAAAAGCAGCTTTGGACTCTTTGTCTACCAATCCTTTCAGGAACTGGAGATTATCTAAAGCTGGTCAACTCCCAGTAAAATGTCCCCTTCTCACTGATTGAACAGAAAAGCTGCAATCAATTTGTCCCCTGACATCTGTAGCCAGATAGTGGGTAGGACTATGATGCTGTGCTCTCCATTGTGAAGAAGAAAAACCAAGCAGAAAACACTGTCCCTTCCTTCAAGGAGCCTGAAATTGAACTGAGGACCTACAATAAGAAAGCAACTAAAACCCACTAATTTGGTTCTAAGGTTTATAAGACAGTGCACCGTGGATAGAGGTACTTTGAGGAAACAAAGCAAAAAGTGAGCACGATAAACAGAATTAGTTCAGTTGAACAGATGAGCATGACCTGTCACAGAGCAAGAGAGGAAATCTCTATAGGAAATAGCAATTTCCATATGTGCCTACTGTTGTCACTAGAAGGCTCAGGTGCCATAGTGAAGACTGATTTGGCTACTCTCCACACATCAACATTCAGGGTTCTATCCCTGACATGCATGGAGGGGCAGGCTTATGCTCAGGCTGCTGGAGTGCATGTTCATGAAAAGTCACCAAGAAAATGAGCTCATGTGAGACAGAGAATCTGGTAAGTCATAACAACTATTTGAGTAAATCACAGCACTGACTTTGAGGACCAGCTAAAAATAAAAGAGGGATAATATATATCACTAAGTAAGGAAATGAGAATATAAATACTTTAAGGAAATTATTAAGTCTGCGTACACGTCAAACCAACGTATACACCTGGCCAAAGTACACAGGTGCCTACAATCTAGGCTCACCAAATCAGCACCCTTCTGTGTCTCAGGCACCCCCACCAGTAGGCTGCTCCTCAAAGCCCTTTGCACAAAGATATTTAGGAAACAGCTGTGCCCCTTTCTGAAGACTTTGGCATGAAGTCAAAAACAGGACCCCTTGGGATTCTACAATAAGTATAAACGTAGGGACTAAGTTTTCATTCCAGCTTTTAATTCACCCTGAATTGTCTTGCAACTTCAGATGCACCATGAACAGCTTCGGTATCTGTTTTCTCACGGGTGAAATGCAGAGAGGGGAGGTGACATAAGTCAGGGGGTCAAAGTCCTATAGACCTTTGAGATGATCCTCATTCCCCTAAGCCCTCCCCCTCATCTGGGAGATGCATACAAGGCTCCAAACCAAATCAGAGATCAGTAAATAGTAAGAGTGAATAAGTGAAGATTGATAATTTCAGTGCCTTTAGTCCAGAACAGTGGGCTGATAGAGGCGGGGAGGCGGTCATGCTGTTTTTCCACAGGGGCCAGGCAGGGTGTGGGATGAGGGAACGGCAGAGACAGATCCAGCCAGTGGCCTGGGCTTACACTTTAATCCGAACAAAGAAAATCCTGGTTCAGCAACTTGAACAGACCAGCAAACCTTAGGTGACATAAATGAAACTGGTGAAAGCACATTTGTTAGGAAAAGCCAAAAATTGTGAGGCAAGGGCAAGTCTTAGCCAAAAAAACAAAAATAAAAACAAAACTTTAAAATGTTTTTAGCCATCTTCCTCTCTTCTGAGAAAAATGTTTTACATGATCATAATAAGGAAATGTAGTTGTTGGTCACTGCTCGGTTCACTAACAGCAAAAGCAGCCCACAGTTAATTTTTTTTTCACTGTCACATCTTTATAGCTCCTTGCACGTCAGATCTTCAAATATGCCCTCAGATGGAGTATCTTCAGAGGAGGCTTTCAGCATTCCCTCCATTGTTAAATATCCCCAAAGTGTTTCCTGCCATGCCGTAATCTCACCGGGGCACCAGGACAGGGTGCCCACGATCAAAGGAGAGGGAGGAAGAGAGAACTTGGTTCTTACTTGCTCTTCCCCTGCTGTGTAGTGCAGCGTCCCACCACTGGCCCAGAATACCATTCTGATGAAATATTAGAGTGCATACATCTCTACGGGAATCAGAAATAATACCTTCTTGCCAAGCTTCGGCCCAAGCAGGACACTTCTTTTTAAAAGCCTTTTCTGATAACTATTTCCACCGTCAAATAGGGATGGAGCATCCTTCCTGGCGCTCCACGCCTCTGGGCCCCTCTATTCCAGGTGCCACCACCCTATATGCTTGCTGGTGACTTCTTGTCTGCCGCCTGCTTCCCAAGCTTCTTGAAGCAGGAACCCCACCTTCCTCCCCTCAGAGTCCCAAGGAACCAGCACAGGCTCCAGCGCAAAGCAGGGACTCAAATGTGTGATGAATTAAGGAATTCATCCACTGTTTTCTTTCTGACTAAATAAATCTGCAGGCTGTACCGTTTACAAAGAACTTTCACACTTACTGCCATGTTTGATCCTAATAATGCCCAGGAAGTCTCCCTTAGAGAGGGGCCACAACTGTCCCCGTCTACTGATGAGGACACTCAGACTGAAAGAAATCAAGTGACTTGACTAATGTCACACATGGGGCAAAAGGATTTAATGACTTTTTCTATGTCAACAATTTAAACTACCCTTCATTAGAATCCTGCCTCTCAGACAGGGTCCTACTACTCTAGGTCAGAGGATTGTTTAGGCATCATGAACATTAAATCCACTGGTTTGGGTCCCTGACTCACAACATTCTCGTAACTGGACCAGGAATGTTGCTCTTTGATCTTATTTATCTGCTTGTTTATACGTTTAGTTCTTGTTGATTATATAAACACGGGTATGAATATATTCTATATTCCATTATGATTTAAGAGTTTACCAAGTAACTGGCCTGGACTAAAGGGAAGCTCCAGGAGACGAGCATTCTTCCTGAGCACCAATGCAGAGTACTGAGTGAAGAATACAATACCAGAGTATTCCAAGACTCTTATCAAGGAAGAAGCTGCATCTCAATTAAGTCCAATCTTCTGCCAGGTACGCATACATGGGCATGTGTCCAGAATGTAAAATAAGAATGTCAGTAAGTGTGTGCTTGGGAGAGAGGAAGAATTGTTTTAATATAAAAGGACATTAAATCATGACATATAGGCTAAAAAAATATTTTAATCAAAAAAAAAAAAAACAACTCTTTTCCCACCCTGCCATGCTCTTTCATATGGGAGAACATGAATTATCCTCACTGTTCAATTCAACCACAAATGCTAAACAAGAATCACCATCAAGACCAGACCGGAAAAATTTTAGGGCAGGCCTCCTCTACCTTCAAGCTGCTCCTTACATTCATCCCTTCAGGAAGAGACAAAGCCTTTCAGTCCACAGTGATAGATGTCTTTTTGACCAAGAACTTGACTCACCAAAGAACCTCAATAAATGTATTCTGATTGATTTAAGAACTTCAGAATGCAATCTTCAGCTCATGTTAATAGTTTCTGTGGATGTCTTTTGGTTAAAATTGGTGACTATATCAATTTTATAGACAGGAGGGCATGAAGTACGTAAAATATAAAATGAAATCATCTTCTGTCAGGGAGAAACAAACAAACAAACAAACAAAAAAACCAAAAAACATAAAAGCAAGCTCCTAAAAGGAAAAGAAGGCAGTTTGAGCTGAGGAAATTAAGCTTAGATGACACGAAGTTGCTAAGGGTAAGCTCTATTCATCGTCGAGTTGGCAAGAACAATAGAGCACGTGCACAGAGATACTTTTTATCTCACAGCTGCAAACCCAGGCAGTAGCACCTCAAACGATTCATGGAGTTTTTATTTTAGTCTGGAATGCATCCGATTTCATATACAGGAGCTATGTTGCTGGAGGTTTGAGAATGGAACTATGGCTTAGGTATCTGAAGATGGGTCGGTGAGCAATATTGGAAATGATTAAGTCTTACTTTGTAGCCATAGCGATCCTGAGAATGAGAGAGACACACATACAATTGAATTACGTTGAAATGAAAAAGCCAACACCTACACTCCAGTCCAGAGTCGCTCTGGGCTCCTTCGCTGGACCATTTGCCACAGGAAGGCTGAGGGGATGTGCAGGAGCCAGGTGCTGCAGGCCTGCCCGGGAGATTGCTTTCCTGCAGCCAGAAGAAAAAAAAAAAAAAAAAAAAAAAAAAACACACACAAAGAAAAACCAACATCAGAAGGTCATACACAGCGAAAAATTTCCCTGGGGTAAAAACAATGCCTGAGTTAGTCTTCCGCATGCAAAAACCTTTGCAAATGTATTGGAATCTATGTCTCTGAAGTGCATGACCAAGATAGAGGGTGGCAGGTCTCAAAGACGGGGAGACTGAGGGGACCACTTTGGGGGGGCAGCATTGCTTCAGAAATAGAAATTAAAATGTAAGCCCCTATTCAGGGTAGAGGGCAGAATGCAGGTCTCTCCGTTTACAAAAAAAAAAAAAAAAAAAAAGACAAGGGCCTGGGTGGTGATAATACTTGGACAATTTTAAAGCTGTCAGAGGCTAAAGGCAAGAAAAGTAGGCTCCTGGGGTCTTCTATTGAAATTCCTCCATTTCCCAACAAAGTGTTCTCCAAGCGGGTCACAGCACCAAGTTCAGTCTTGCTCCTCTCAAGAACATCCTTAAAGTTCCAAATGGGAAAAGACTGATTGGTAGCTGCCAAGAAACAGCACATGCTGAAAGAACACTATCTTACCAAGGCCCACGGAAAGATAAAACCAAAACACGTGGCTTAGATTAGGTTTGTAACGTGGAACACAACAGAATGCTGGTCAGAAAGGAGGGAATGAATCAGGAGAGGTTGAGAAAGTCAGCCCTGACCTTGGTCTGCAAAGATAAGAAATGAGAGGAGTTGCTTTAGCAAGCAAATATGACAATGGCAGGGTAAAGGGAAGGGAAGGGAGATGAGAGCCTGGTGGACTGAATGAGAACAGCAAGATCGAGGAAGAAAGCAGGGAGATCTTGTGATACCATCATTAATAATGTTAAGTTCAATTTCTGCACAGCTCCATGAAAAATGCCAGACAAGGGTCTCAAGCTTCAATGTAAGTGCTGATTAATGAATTAACTAACTGGCTCCCTGGAAAGGAGAGGGGTTTTCCCTCCACAGGACTGTCCACATGTGCTTTGAGAATCACCTGAACTAGAATCAGGTGGGTCTTGTGACCCTGCAGCTGAGCCCTGAGTAGGTCTGAGGCTGAGGCCCAGGAATCTGCATTGACACATGCTTCCTTCTGTAAGCTAACTTTCAAACTGCTCTGTGGGAGTGTGGAAGGACTTTAAAGAGGATAGGAAATGGAGAATCTCCCATATGCACCCTCAGGAAAGTGAAATTTAAGAACTTAGAGACTGATTTCAGGTTAATGCCTAATTTCCAGAAGACTGGAAAGCTATCCCTCAACCAATGAACATCTACCAAGATTGTCTCCCCATCCTCAAGCCGCTGAACTTGCTGCTTGGACTCAGGCTAGACTCCCTGCACTTCTGGCCATAAAAACAGCCCACCCCAAACTGTTAATGGACTTGCCTGGGGCTTGCTACAGTTTTTGTGTCCTGAATTGCAACTCCTGAGCTATTCTCAAATAAACTCAATTTCTGGTAATTCGAGCTTGCCTTGGTTTCCCTCTTTATTTAGGTTGACAAGAGCAAGTACGTTTGGGCAAGTGGGGGAGTATTAACTTACCCAGGCCCATCAAGGGGGTGGGGAAGCCCTGAAGGAAAGCATCAGCAACTTCATTATGTACTTTACCCCCATTAGCTCTCAGCATCCTATCTCAGAGGATGTGAACACTGCAGTAAGAATCTGCCGTCTCGGACACTGGACCTGCAGACACACAGGGTCCCCAGGGAGGCCCAGATCCTCAGACTCCTTCACCCATCTCACTATACAGAGGAACAAGGCTGCTGACAGGTAGATGGGGGAAAGGAAGGCAGTGATGGCCAGATATATGGTGAATCCCATCAGGACTGAGCCCCTGAAGGGAAAGGAACTTGCCCAGGAAAGGGGGAGGAGTGAGAGCAGAATGTAAAAGCTCCATTGGAATCTAAAGGCAGATAATCTCTCTGTTCTGTTCACTGATTTCTGCAAACTCCACCCAGAAATGGGATTTGTAATTGACCAAGATCAACAGTAACCCCAAAACTCAAAGAAAGGCTGGGTAGAATACAGAAAAGAATCCAAGATCGTGCAGCCACTGATTAATGGTCAAGTATGTCTAAGAGCTCAGCAAGTGCCCGGCCCTTTTTCCCCCTCTCTTATATTCCCACACAGGAAGTCTCAGAAATAACATCAAGGTCTTTAGTAGTTGGAAGTGATCCCACCGAACTTGCCAGTAGCCTACTTTCAGAAGCTCCCACAGGGTCACACACAATGTACTTGCTTTATGTAATCCTCCAAAGAGTCATTACAAGTGTGTAGACCTTTAATGAAGACATTCCGATGACAATTTTCTCTTTCCTCACTTTCGTCAAGGCAAATAATTAACATCAATTTTGGCCCCTTCACTGACACCAACCCTTTTGGATTCCCAGATCCAATTACAAAGTTGGCAGACAGGTGGGGGGTGGGGAGTGGGAAGCTGGGGGTTCCTCCAATATCAAGCAATTCTTAGACACCAGCAGGGTGTCCCAGAATTCAACTTAATTCTGACACTACCTAACCAGAGCTAGCATCGGATTCCATGGGCTTAGCGTTCAGTCCTACAGGACCACTCCCCACCCCCACTTCAGATGCCAGTCACAAGCCCCGGGCTGTTACCTGGGCTTCTGGCCAACCAGCTACAGATCAGAGGTTCCAATGACCTCCTCCTTAGGTTTGATTCATTTGTTAAAGTGGCTCACAGAACTGACAGAAACACTTAATGTTTACCCATTTATTAAAGGAGATGATAAAGGATATGAATCAACAGTCAGACAAAGGGATACAGAGGGTGAAGTATGGGGAAGGGGTGTGGGGCTTCCATCCCCTCTCCAGAGGCCTCACTCTCCCAGCGCCTCCACCTGCTCACCAACCTGAAAGTTCTCTGAACCCCATCCTGGGTTTTTATTGAGGCTTAATTATATAGGCACGATGGATTAAATCATTGGCCATTGGCAACTGATTCAACCTTCAGCCTCTCTCTCCTCCCTGGAGGGAATGAGGGCTAGGATGGAAAGTTCCAACCCTCCCATCACAAGATCAGTCCTCATGGCAAACAGCCCCCACCCTTGGGTGGGGTGCAAAGCCACCTTCATTAACATAATGAAAAACACCTCTTTCGCCCTTATCACAGGTTTCAGGAGTTGTGAGCAGAGGTCTGTGGATGAAGACCAAATACATCCAGATGGCCAAATACATATTGCTTATAAATCACAATATCGCAGCCCTTCACCCCAAAGTATATTCTGTTCCACTGTGCAATAAGCCAAGAACACTGGAAGATTCTTATATGGTGCTCCTTCATGGCCCATGCATTTTTCTCCACCTGAGTTCAAGAACTTGTGTAACGTTTTTCTTTAGGACTTTTCTCTGGCTTTGAAGCAGGCTGTGTGTGATTCTGAGTCACGGCTTCCATCACAAGAAAATCAGATCTCTGCAGCATCAGAATCTACAGGTCCCACCTTTGAATCCTTAAAACACAACTTAAATGTCAGTGTTCTAACAAAAGATAATAAACAGTGCCTGAGCACAAGGCCGTGGAAGGGCTGAAGAATTCCTCAATCTTGGGTTAATGAGGAAAATACAAGTCCCTCATCTTTTCATGAATAGCCACAGAGAGCTGTGGTCAGAATAAAAAAGAAGGGAGGGAATACAATTCTGCTGGCCCAGTGGACATCACAGGACAAATGAGCTGAACTCTCCAGAAGCTGGAGACTGACCATCAAAACCTATGTTCCTAATTAAAACCGCCGGGAGGGACACACTGCCGAAATAACCAGATTAGGGCGCGAGGGCTGTGTGTGTCTCCAGAAGAGCAACGTGGCAATAAGAGAACAGACATACAAACCTTCGACCCTGACTAAGCCCTGCAAGGAAAGTACAGTCAAATGGCACTCTTTCCCAGCCAGTGAATAGAAACAATTAAGTAAGGGCTTTTGCTGCTTATTTATTCCTCATTGTCGGTACAAATTTAAGGGTGGTTTTCTGTGACATGAATAGGGGGAAATTGTATACGTACGACACAGATAAACACTGATTAGGAGGAAAATAAGTAAGAGCCATCAAAGCGGTACCGGTATATAACTGTTAAGGGGCCTCACAAGAGGTTATTACATAAGAAGGAGAATTGGAGAAAGGTCTGTAGGAACTACAGTGAGGTAGGAGGCGACTTCTGATTACAGCTTTTTCCATCTTTATAAACAGCTGTGTGAGAACATCCTTTTCTCCAAGAGCTCATGTATGTATACACCTTTTGTTCCAAAATAAGAAAGCAATTTCATTATTTCTCAGACCTCAAATAAAATTAGTGTAAGTTAGTTTTCTATGTGCGTTCATCTTGGTTGTAGGAGATGACATTTCAGAGTGGTAGAATTTGGGGTGTGTTGAGGTGGCAGGGGTTTTATGTTACAAGATGCTCCGGTAAGAAAATCAATGGGGTTTCAGCTTCTCATTTTTTTCCTCCTGCCCAGAATCCTCCCAAACCTAGAGTCAGTGAGACAGTGAGATCCTTCCTATTAATTTTACAACAGCACTTTGTTGGGATGGTTATAACGGCAAAAGAATCTTTGAAAAGGACAACTGGGATATTAACTGTGAAACAGATATACGAAAAGAAAATATTCTATAATGCAGTTCCAGCCGCACAAAGTCACGGTTAATGTCAATTACCTGCCATGAAAGACCTCAAACATATTTAAAGTATAAAAGCCATCATACATTTTAAATAGCATTCTATTATTTCCTTTACTTCATTCAATAAGACTACAAACTCCTAAAGGACAGGGCTCAATTCATCTACTAATCTTATTACATTCTAGCCCTGGAGTAGACACAGCAAATATACTATAAATGCTTTCTGAGTTAATGAATGAACTTGACCAAAAAGCTAAGCAAAACAGCTTGCTGATTAGATCAAGGGTTGAGAAATCTGATTAGGAAGATTTGAATTATTTCCCAGCCTGTGCATTTCAGTGAT